CTAATTTTAGAAAAGTCGACTGTTTTACTCTTGGCAATATAGCATCAGGATTCGAAGGCCCATAAGCAGGAGGGATAATATTACAATATGAACTAAAGCCGCTGGTTGAGTAGATGGGCAAGTGGCCAATAGAAGCCAGTTTTAGCAAGTATGTAGTGATAAGAATAAATAACTGGAACGATTCATGTTGTAGTGAACAAGAACATATGTGTGGACAAGCGAATTCATTTGAACGCGAAATTACAGAACATATGAGTAAAATCTGAGAACCAATCAGAACTAATCGTGGTACTTTCCTCTTTCGCGCAGTCTAGGCCACGCTCTCCGTCAAAATATCGAGTCTGTGGCGCGCTGACCTCCATAGCTCTGTCGACCTGCCACGGTATCAACATCCGACATCCACCCGGCACCAGGGACATTCAACGCCTGCGCTGCAGAGACCTGTTGAGCCATCTACATCTGATGTCCACCCAACAGCCGACGCCGCCCCACCCAGACACTTCACTCGACGTCACATCTCCGCAGTATCGTTGCACAACGAGTGAAATTGTGTCATCTATAACGGACCAAAATGACCTTGAAGTCATAGTGAGAAACAGCCTTAGGACGACAAATGACTTTCAGACTGCCGCTTCATAAGATTTCAGATTCTACTGGGCTGTTAGTGTCATCTCGCCATTCAGACAAAAAGTGTTTAGATTATTATACCTGACATTTCTGAGATCGCACTTGTGATATAAGATTCAAGCAGCTACTCCTTGTACCGTGTATGAGGCGGGTATGTTGGAATGAAATCAACGGTGAGGGACTAAAACGGTAAGTGATCTCTCTGGCGAATCCTATGAAGGTGGAATGAGTCTCTCCAACTTAGTCTCCCTATCGAAACGCACGGTTTAGTATTAGGGTTAAATCAAATCTTCTTCCTATTTTGATTTAGAGGAAATGGATGCGTAGCGTGTAGGTACTAATGCCAAGGTTAGACTTGATAGTTTCAAGTTAATTGATACATTAAGTCACGAGTCGTTAGAATTACAATTTTCTACTCACTAAGATGTATAAAAAAATAAATTTGTTATGAGCACTCAGTCTGTTGCTTGCATGCTCAAATTTCAATGGCAGGAAACGGTTGTTGAGAGTTTATGGAATATAACTCAAATTACACTTCTTATGGTACAGGATAAAAGTATCATTTATGTGCCTTCTATATTAGTGTAAGTAGTTTAAGGCCGTTATGTTTGTACGTGCTTGTTTGTGAAAATTCTCCTTGCATACACCTTTTGTTGGGAGTAATCCACCGTTTCTCTTTGTACATAATGCTTCTTCACTTCCGTGGTACATGCATTGACCTGGACAGACAACTAGAGTAACGAAATGATAGAAGCGAAGAGGAGGACGCGAAACGAAGTGAGACGAAGAAGAGTGTGCTAACTTCATTTGTTCAAGCGTGATTCGATATTTATTCTCATACAATGAATAGGGTGGGTAATCAACACATACACTGTAATAAAACAATCAAGGTTACTAAGCGAATAAGTGACCAGGTAAAAATGTTTCTTGAGAAGAATGAATGGATTAATTTGTCCAGAGTCTAGAATAACCTATTTAGGATTGACATAGTATTAGCTCCTATAAAGCCCTCCTTTGGAAAATAGCGGATTACTTTTCAAAAATTTCTGTTTTCTAAAATAACACTGAAGACGTATGTGGTTGAATCTAACAACAAATAGTGAGAAAGTTTGTACTATATCTGACAAAGTGCAGTGTCACGTGAGGAGTGAGTATATAACATGGAAGTGTCATACTTACGTAAAATATACATGAATATCGTGAAGGTACGGACGAAAAGAAGTTAGCATTAGATTATAAGCAAATTAATAAGTGTGCAGAAAACAACATAGGTTTATATTGTGACTGTCTGGATAATAAGATAATACGTTCATATGAGTGATTCAAACGATCGTGAAAACAAAGTAATGAATCGTTTGTGACAGTGGAAACAATAGTGAAAGTGAGTAGAAGAGAATATGACAGAAATTGATCTGTTGTGCCGCCAGAATATAAGGATAAAAATGGTTGAAAATGAGTAGGTTCTAATTAACCTCAGTAGAGTAAATAAAGTCGATTAACGATTACTGGATTTCAATTTACACACATGGAGTTTGTGTGAAAAAAACAATCCATCAGCAAAATGATAACTGCATCGATGGCTGATATTCCTTGCTGTACTGCAGTTGATAAAACCATGAAACCCGAAGTTAGTCTACGTTGTCGTTCTAGTTATAACCACACGAGTTATTGTTAAATATGTATTAGTAGAATGACCAGAGAAATGGAGTAGTAACTGTGGAGATGGGATATGTTGAATCGTGTTCCATCTTAGTCGTGAAGCCTAGCGTGGTTTATGTCGTTTAAAGTTGATGCGCTCGACCCCATTTGTTACGAAACCGTACTAAGACATGATAAAGAGCCAGTACGTATGATTGTTAACAACGGGCGAATGAAACTGACCTGCATGTGCATTCCCGAGAGAATAGCTCTAAACTTTGTGTTCTAATAAACAGTGCGATAGGAACAAAGTATTAATTTCAGTAATCAAGTAATGTTTACAGGCAACGAACACTGTAGGGTGCACTTATACATGTGGACAAACAGATATGATGAACATGATCGTTACTAATCGCCTAGTAATGCGACGTCGAGTCTTTGATGCATGTATAGACATTAAGTCAAGGGTCATCAGTTTAGCGAAAAACGGCTGAAGTTCAGTTTAGATTGTCGTTGAAAAAGTAGAAAATGGAAATTGCTGAGTACATATACGATGAATGTACATTACTTGCATGTAGAGAACATAGGTTCCTACCACCGGAAGTATGACTCCAAACTTATGTTTATTATAGTTTCTAACCGCTGTTAGTGTTGATGTAGTTGTGACCATGCCGGGATCAGCAGGCAGGAGGTTCGCTCGACTACTTAGACAGAGGACCCATGTGCAAGCGCGGGTTACTTGACCGCTAATTAACTTATCAAGTCGCAGGTTGTTCAGCACACGAAGGGCTATTAAAGACGTCAGAAATATATGTTATGATATAGTACTGAAAATACCACAGGTATTTGGATTTTGACAACGCTTTAAGCAGTAACACCTAAAATGAGTCGTACCCAACAACTGAAATCAAAAGACAGAAGCGAGGAGGTTCGAAGATATATTTGATAGGCTCTCAGTATATTGAGGATCGTCTGATCTAATCTGGCCAGCGATTGCAGGGGATGATGAACACGGTATTCCAACTCGTGGTCTGGTGTGGATGCATGACTGGGAGCCGAAAAAGGGAAATAAACTCATGCATGCGTATTAGCGTAAAAAAAGAATTTCATAATATGGTTTTTTAAATAGAAATAGAAATATCTAAGCTTATTAAAATTGTTTTTTTAATATTACATTTTGTACAAAGAAAAATCGAGATGATATAAAATGTCAACTGGTATCTAACGTGCAATACTCGGTTCAGTGATCTGGAAATCCTACTCTTCTTCCAGAACGCGTAGTTATGATTTTATTTTCTGATGCTGCCAAAGTATCATCGTGCGTGTTGGCTGTCGAATGAGGTATTATAAATATAGGAGCCGTGTCGTTCGATTGTACTGAAGGAAAATCAACGCGAATAGGTCTACTATAGTAGACAAAGGCTATAGCCTCCGTTTGCGCGTATCGATGATTACATTATGGTGTTGTAGGAGGTTCGTACTAATGGTTGAAGTAGAAACATCTGCAACGACGAAAATCTAGTGAATAGGCTTGTGTAAACCCACTTTAGGGTAATCGTACCTTTCGCCATACGTAGCGATAGGCTTTCCGTTTGCCGCCTGTAAGTTTAAAGCAGATTCGTGAAACCGGTAGTTGGAATTCTTTGGGAGAATGCTAACTTAGGCGCCAGTGTCGACAAGGTAGCGAACTTTCGTTATCATATCTGTGATGTATAACAGACGGCTATGTTCGCCGGCTACGGTTGCCTTTAACGCACACCGGCTTGGAAATTTTCCGAACTGTTTTTAGTGCCGGTCGATTCTGAGTTGGAAAAATGACAGGGTTTTCTGCAATTTCTGAAGGATTTTCCATACTAGTTATGATACCAGCATCATTCGGAGTTATCCGTCTTTCGTAGTCTAGAAACAAATCACCTTCGTGAAGTGCTTCTTCGTGGAGTGTGTGAACGTTTACGGTCGTTACGACATTTAAGTTAACGTGTAAGTGTACGACGTAATTCTGTAATATCATTCTGGGCCGTTTGAAGCTTTTCTTTGACTGAAAAAACCCTCAGCATTAGAAGATTTCGTAATTTATAAGATACGATCTGCAGATGCAGCCAGCTCGTCTAAGGCGTTGTTCTGAAATGAGACCAGAACCGCTTGCACCTGTTGGGGAAGTTTAGACAAGAAAAGTTGTTTGAATAGGCCTTCGTCGAAAGTTCTTGGGCCTATAACCTCTCTCATTCTTTGCAACATGTCCGTCGCAGGACCGTGCTGCAAGTCTATGTTATTAAAGAGTTGATCTAACCTTTGTCGATCAGTTAGGTCTCTGCGTCTAAGGATAGATCGTTTCAGTGTCTCGTAGGGTTCCGAAGCATCACTAGTAAACACGCTAGGTGTTACGTACCTGTTGAATTCGCGCGGTATTTCCTTGACTACTGCGAGGAATTGTGCACGTGTGTCGCTCACACCGTGCTCGTAGAAGTTGGCTTCTGTGTAGCAGAACCAGGCTTCGATTTTGTCTGGCCAGAAGGGCATTAGTTAGAACTCAAGTACTTTGGGTGTCTGTACAGTCATGGTGAAGTATCGGAGTACGAGAATGAACGAGTGAGAAAATATATTTATCAAAAACACGGAAAAAATCACAGTGTATAAAAAATTAGAATAAGGCAATGATATATAAAATCTCAAAAAGGAACAGACCCACAGTAGGCGGAGTGTTTACAGGCGCGTTCCTTGAAGTGTTTCACGTTATGGATCGTAAGACAGTCATCAAAAGCAAACTACAAGGAATAGAGAGGTATTAACCTGTATGTATTTTAAAAGACATTAGCTATAACCCTGAACACATAACAGCACTTGAAGAACATCTTTCATGGCAGATCATAAATAATGATTATGATTTCGAAGCTAATTTAGCTCTGCTTAGATTGTATTTAACAAGTCTTTGTGATTAGCTCTTCTTACATAGATATCAGTTCTATCCGGAACGTTTCAACGCTGAGTGTGCGAGGTTAGTGCTGCTGAAGGCAATTATAAGCATGAGTCACTCAGATTTTACATTGTGCAAGTACTTGATTCACCTAGAACATGTAAGTAGTTGATATACATTATTAAAGTTAGCTCAGTGAAGAGCCACTTTCACAGGTTGTGGAGCTTGGGTTTCTCCTGGAAACCTGTCGGTTTTCTGAGTTTTGGGTTTGTTCAGTTTCATTGTTTTACTTAGTGTGTAGACGAAAGTTAAAGAAAACCCCAAAATTTTTTCTGCTATCCCTGGATTCCGTGAATCTGTATGTAGATGTAAGTACTGCCTTCTCCAGGATTTTATATACTTAATTTTTTATGTGTAACCTAGTTTTCATAGAAACAGTTTCGTGCATTTGAATCCATTCATTTACTGTGTCTATAACTTGCTTTATGATCATTGTTTAAGAATATTTTTAAAAAAACTAGGTTGTGCCCATAAGTCTTGGTGGTTCAACGACATTTTCCGAAATATGTTGCTGTGATCTAAAGTAAACTACATCGGTGTACTCAATAATTACAACTTGTAGATATCTGTCACCAGTCAGTCAGTCAACTACAACGTACGACCAGGCACATATATGCATCGACCCAAGTTGCCACACTTCATTAGCCCTAAATTCATAGGAGTAGTTACTTCAATAGTAATATATAGACGGAAGATTTCACATAAGAATATAATGCAGAGAGAAAGAATTCGTTAGTAGAAAGAAAGGTATAAAACAATTTTAATCTCATAGTTTAAAGGGAAGACAAAGAGTGTATACACCAATGCCATTGTGATCGGTTCTCAGTCGTGTCACTCAGAGTCTCCAACCATTGGTCAAGACAGTCATGTGGACCACAATCAAGTAATCTTCATTTACCAACATGACTCATACCAGAGGTTAGTGACTTCAAGGACTGATGCCACGTTTTGGTTTGGTAGCCACCAACTTTCTTCCAAACGGCTCCAACACTAGTCAGCATTGCACGCCGTGGTAACCAGTGTTCAGGTATATGTAACACGTTGCCCAACCCTCTCAGTCGATGAAGATTCACAACCTCAGCTGATTAATCATCGTGGCCTGCGTCTAGTTTCACCATTACTTACTCAGTGATCCTAACAGATACGAGCAATATTTCTAAGACATCTGTGATAAAATACTAGTAAATTACGAGTATCTACCGTTATTAGCCACGTTTCACAGTCGTAAAGTAGAACAGAACGAACTGCTGTACAGTATACACATCCCTTAATCTATAGACGGTTATCTCACCCTTGCTATAGTTGAGACAAAAGCCAAACGAGCTTTTCGAATCCTTGTATAGATTTCGTCAGACACCAACCCGTTAGGGCTGATCAAACTTCCAAATAAATGAAGTTGTCAACGCGTTCAACTATTTCACTCTCTATCCTTAGTTCAGGTGTTGATGCCGACCACTCCTGAAGCACTGCTGATTGAGTATTTTAGTTGTTCTCTGACAAATAATATGTTCATCAAATTGATATTGTGCTGTGTTCTTGTTTGGGTAATCATAATTCACTCATCCACTGTAGAAGAATGGTAAGCTAGTGATTTAAGCATTTGTGTTCAGACTAAGTTTGGCAACCATAGCTGCTACTTTAGTGTAGTTTTCTTTTGATTGCCTTTGTGAATATTGGCTGGAACACGTCTCTTTAGGTTCTTCTATGCCCATGTTAATCAGTGTATTTCTTCAAAGATTACTAAAAAGATGAATTACCAGATACATAGTCAAGTGCTGTACAGGCAGGCTAGTCAAAATCGTCATGTTGAAGGGGTGAGATTTTACTGTGGCTAAAGTAAAAGCCGTTGTAAGTTAGGTAGTTGGTCAGAGAAAAAATCCACTACAGGTATACAATATATTAAAAAAATGCGACAGGAACTCATTAATACACTTTTGAGATTATTTCCACAATTCATACTTAATTTGAACCCTATTTTCTGATCTGAATCAAACTTTGAAACTTAAAAGGTTCACCATGTAGTTTTAAGTGTAGTTTCCGAAGACCAAAAATGACACTTCCTGAAGTTCAGTCATCGGCTTTGATGAGGCATGGTGATAAAACTGTAGAGGGGTAGATAATTATAAGGAAGTGGACGTGCGATTCGATCTTGAACAAGGTAATCTTGTGTTCTGGTTGAGATGTGTGGTTGGTCATCACATCTCGGTCGCACGCACTGTTGAGGCATACTTCATGGGAAGGAAAGTGGTATATTAGTGATTTTGTTAATTTGAGAGTGCAAATGCGCAGCCCACGGGACACATGTTCGCTGTTGTTTACGCATGGTCTTTTTGAGAGTAGTTTTTAATGTTACCTCTATACTTTTAGTACCTTTCCACTGACGACATGAACTTGTGGGGTAGTGTAGTGTTATGTTACATTGCGGGGAGACTGCATGACTGTCGGAAGGGGATATCTCACTGTTTTCCAACTAATCTATCTAGCATAGTAAAACCCAAAAGAACAAGTTTCGTTGTCATTGTAGTTCGAGTGTGTCATCACGACAGACAGGTCTGACTACCAACATATGATAGCAACAGTTAGGAAATGAACAAATTTGAAATGCACAGACTCTCTTTACAGAATTGTTCAGGAAGTGACTGGATATTATCAGTTCAAATTCCATTCAAATCGTTCACTTGTTCGGTGATGTAGTTTTCGGTAAAAATTAAGGATTGACTTATCACTATGCATTCAGTGTGGCCATAATAATAATCTTCGTTTAAAACGTGATGTTAGCTACCAAATAACTGTGGTCGCCTATCGATGGGAAACTATCTAAAAACTCCTGAACTGTAACGCATTCTAAAACTCATTTGAGTTTGAAGAAACCAGTAGTTGGATTTGACGCACTTTTTTGGTTAGAGTAATGGCTGCATGATTCACAAATAACGTATAGTATTTCAGAGCGCATAACCTTCATCTACTCCTTATCAGTCTATGTAAGATAAAATCAGTGACTATCTATTATACATTTCAGTAAGGTAAATTTTAAAACCAAAACCCCTCTAATTATTTTTCAATGGATTAATAAGGTTCCAACTGGAACACATACCACATTTTATACAAATCCGGTAATATAATTCACTTGTCAAGCACAAATTCGTATACTCAACCGTAAGCCACATTTTACATTTAAAGACTAATGGTTCCATCCAAAGCAAAGTAGGTGAAGCGAGGTTGAACATGCAACCTAGTCGCATTATAAATTTTTGCAAACCAATCATGGTTGAGGGCCTATTATTACGCAACATGTCCATTAGTCTAGTTCATAATTTCAATAGCTTAGCTCCTTAGTCATTTATTTATTTGAACACAAATATTAGTACAAAGGACACCGAATACATATGCGCCACACAGGTCACTTTATTTGTGATACTGCCTGGGCGCCCAGATCGAAGCAGGTGGTTTTCTTAGAAGGACACTCGGAGCCTTCAACCTAAAGGTCTGATTGCCAAGGCAGTGGAGAAACGTCAGGAGATGCAGTTCCATGGTAGCCTATGTCAGAGACGTCCTACTGACTGCCTTCTCGTGGCGGGGGTGTTGTTTACGAGATTGAGAGGACGAAAAGCGAATGTCCGGCGCTTTGACCGGATTCGAAACCAACGGTGCACATGGGCTCCAGTATCCTGAAGGAACAAATGGCGTATGAACCAATCGTTGGTCACCGGCTACCATGGGACCGCATCTCCTCACGATGCTCCACTGCCTTGTGGGTCAGACCTTGAGGTTAAGGCTCGGGGTTTGGCCCCCTAAGGAAACCATCTGCATCGGTTTGGTCACCCGGGCAGTATCCGAGCCCTCACACAAATCGAATGATTTGTGTAGCGCATATGTATTTGGTGCCTTTTTGTACCAATGTTTATGTGTTTAAATAAAATAAAAACCCGTGGTGCGAAAAGGAAGTGAGTAGGACATCTGGGGTAGTGGTTGTATGCATGTGAGAGCATTTCTCTCGAGAGAGAGCTGACTCTCCCCGTTCTCGGATGTATCAGGACATTTGGAAGGCTCGTCTGAGATGCAGTCCCATGGTAGCCAGTAACCAACAGTTGGTTCATACACCATTCATTCATTGGATATTTAGAGTTGTATATATATTTCTCTCCTTTAAATAATTTCCATGGTCTTTTCATCTCTATGTCTCTCTTTGTCTCTACATACATATATAGTTATTGTCCAAATTATATCTCAAACATATCAACGTATATCAAAACCCTTATTAATGAGCTTTTTGGATATGTCAGAGAATGATTTAAAACAATTTATTCAACAATTTGAATGGTCCGAAATCACTGATCATCATCATCATCAACTTATTTTAATTAATAATCATGAAGAGAATATTAAATCAATACAAATACGTGAACGTGTCAATTTCGATTCGATCACATCAATGTCCGGTGCATTTAGACCATCAAAAAGTGATTTTTTCATTAAAACCAACATACAATCATAATTATCATGTCAATCAATCAATCAATAAATAAATAATTCAATGATTTATTTCATTAAAAAAAAAGAAAAAAAGATTCCATTTTTATATCATTGAAATAGAAAAAAATTTCTTTGTGTAATCATTTTCCTTTTTATTATTATTATTATACATTTTGCCCAACAATTGATTTGTGTGTGTGTGTGTGTAAATGTTTGGGTGATAACAAAATAATCATGATATTGATGAATAATCAATAAGTCAGTTAGCAACAACATAGAACTTTGTATCTACGTACGTATGTACATCTAGTTCAAGTTGCCATAGCATAAGTCAAATAATCTATAATAAGAAATAAGAGATTATAAAGTAAATTAACGGAAATGATAACTATCCAATTGTTACACATATGTGCTTATATATTAAAAAAAATCTTATTTGTACAAGCAAAAACTGGAAATAAATGAAGAGACAGAGAGAGAGAGAGAGAGAGAATGTTTTAAAAATTGAGATCATTCCATTGTGGATAAATTAAGAAATGGTGTTTGAAACATATGCTTAGATACTTGTTGTGAGGTAGATGGGAATAGAGTAAGTAATGGAAGAAGCCATTGGAATGATTTATTTAATAAATAATCATTTGATGGAGCGGTAGGAGTAGTTGTAGTAGTATTATTAGGAGGAGGAGGAATGTTAATTGTTGTTGTTGTTGTTATGTTGGATGACAAGTCATATTTATTTCGATTTATTTTTGAAATAGTGCCAAATTTTTGTTTAATTACTTGACTGAATCGATGCACCGTTTTAGTAGTCCATGACCAAGAAGGTAGCAGATCACGATGTGTATTATTTGTAATCTATTATAATATGAAATAGACAATACAGAATAGAGAAGAGCATTAAATGGACATTGTTATATTGTTATGCTAAAAGATTTCACAGCTAAATCTAGTCTGTTCATTTAAGTTAGCGTGAAAGTTTTTCTTAAAAAAAATAAGTGAATGAACATTGCATATACATGGAAAAATAGGGGGGCAACAGTGATGATATTCAAACCGTGACCAATGTAGCTGATACTTTCAATCTACAATGTAGATGAATCCAAACAGAATCTTATATAAGCTAAGAGAGATAGTGGGTAGCAGTGGAATCCAGAACGCGCGTTTTACTCCATTTGGGACTCGTCGGCTGGATGTACCTACATCTCAGAGTTGATGTTCACGCTGGACTTGAACCCAGTACCGCGATTTATTTGAATCTTCTCACTCCATTGCACAAGCAAGTGGCTATCAGGACTCAGTAACTAAGTGGATAACGCAATGGCGTTTGAAGCGAACGGCACTAGACTCGAGTCCCAGAGTGAACATCAACCCCGACATGTAGATACATCCAGCTGACGAGTCCCAAAATAGGACGAAGCGCGCGTCCTGGATTCCACTGCTAGCCACTACCCATCTTTGCTTCCAATGCTTGTGAATTAAGGCAATATCGAGCTAATGCACATATACCAATAAGAAACTGACCAGTTGTGGTGCTAAACATGAATGGGAGGATTCAAGTAAACAATACCAAGCAAATTTAGAACCTTATGTACAAATTGAATAGTCACTCTTTATGCAACATCAGTAGTGCATTTGTATAATTTAACACATTAGTGTGTTTTCGATCAATTTGACGAGGCAAGTTAAATAATCACGCAAAGCTTTTAAATTATGCCCAATGTTTCGCCACAGATATTTTATACGGTTTGAAGATCATTTTCATCAGGAACTGTAACTTACAAGATAAAAACTAAAAGCCAAGAAACAATAAATAACCGTTTCATCTTAGTTTGAAACAGGGATCTTTAAATGTGTTGGCGAATGCAATATATCTTTGAAAAAGCTGAGTTGAAATTCTATGGTACACATTCCTGACTTCAGCTAACTCTTGAAATATCATGGCCATCATTGATTAATAAAACGTATCACCACTCACGTCACAGATTTCCGCTAGAACTTAAGAAGCTCTCCAAGATAGTGAATAACTAGTCAGAATATTTTAGATGCCTACTCCTAAGTAGTTAGTAATTGTAAAAGATTATCTAACTGGTCATATATTGAATTCTGTTCAAATTTATTTGTTGTGTTTTATTACTTTGATAAATAAGAGTGTGCAACATGATACAATAACGGAGAGTCTAAAACACCACTCTAACTTCTTTTAGAGTACAGATCCGCATCACCCAATGTTCACAGTTCGAGACTGCACTACTGAGTTATTTGGGTTTCAACTGGTCTATAGAAATCGATCAGCCTAAAGAACGGCGCTCGTCACTGCTCAATTGCAAACTGCCGTAGTAATAATAGTTATCTGACTACCGTTTACCTCGACACACAATACTAGCTTAGATAGGAATAGGCTTCACAAAAGCCATGAGCGGTCAAACTAAGACACGGAATCATTGACTGTTGAAATGAAGTGTTCAGAAATTTCATACGATTGATTGCCTTTATGAATTTGAGTAAAGCCTGAAAAAGCATTGATGCGGAATCATATAAATTTATTATATTTCGTGGTTTCTCATCAACTGCTTACAACCATTGATATGTATTGAAAGTTAACAATGAGGTAAGGTATAAAGTGAAGCAATTAGCATAGATAAACGAAATGAATTAGAATGATAAAGGTTATCAATAATAACTATATATATATATATATATATATATATATATATATATATATATATATATATATATATATATATATATATATATATGCTCAAAAACGGGTTACAGGCATTGAAATCATAAGTGATGGGTGATGCATTAATCAAATAAGGTCCATAGACAGATGAGATAGATTGTGTGATAATTTTAGAGGTTATGAAGTGTTTACATAAGATTACTGGAATTAAAGGTTGATAAGATGGGTTACGTAAATAATTGAACAGGATTTGAAGAGTTCGCAAAAGTTTTCACTCACTTAGTTCTCTTTCACTACATATATGGTTGGAAGCAGCTGATGAGAAACCACGACATATAATGGACTCATGTTATTCTGCATCAATGTTTGTTTTAGCTTCATTCGAACTAAACTGTTGGGTTAAGAGCCGCGCAACCAGTGGTTGGGAACACTGGGTGACATAACTTAGTGACAGATCCATTCTTGATTTCTAGTACTACGTCATGGATACGTTTTCAGTTTTTCTCTCCAACTATATTCATGGTATCTTATCTTTCTTATAGTCACTGGTGCTACTATTATTTCAATTACTGCCATTCATCTTAATAATTCTGTCTTGTGCTAACGTAACACGGCAGGTGCTAATAAAGGATCAGGTTATTTAGTCTCATATTACATATTTTTCGAAATGCTAGTCTCCATGATGGTAATATTTGCTGTTACGTGATTGATTGTTGTCATATTTCGTTTGCTATTTTATGTGTTCTAACATTATTGGATGTTTCAACATAAGCAGACTTATTCCTTCCCAGTTTTTGAATACTGTACGAGATATAAAGTTATCCTAGAAGCCCCATTCTCACTATCTCATCATTAATGCGTGGATTATTAAAGTTAAAGCGTTTTTGTGTATCAGATGTACGGTCTATTCTATTCGTTGAGTCGTATTAGAAAAAGCTTTAATTATTCGTAAAGGGAATTTACCCACAGGAAACCCCAATACATTAATTGTTTTTACTAAGGTTTAACAATCACAAATGAAAATTTCTAATATCCAATTCAGTGGCCATGATTCCCAGTACTGCCAATTTTTATGTCCTCATTTCCATTGCTGTTTGACTGGTCTTCCCGGTCTCCCATTGTCCGGATGTTCCATGTACCTATAAAAGTTGTTGTTTTGGCTGTTAGAAGAGGCATCAGCCTCGTGACTTCGGAATAATCTCGGCTTTCATCCTGAGGAGTCATAATTCTTCTTTCAACTCTGAGGGCAGAGTTTAGATGGTTTAATTTGTTTAATCTGGTTGGCGTTTTTTCTTAGCAAGACGGGGTTGCCGACCCTATGACCAAACCTCCTTTACCCGGGCTTGTGACCAGCAGTAACTTTAGAAGAGCTACAGGCGGCCATATCAAAATCAAGTTGTATATATAAATGAACTGGTGAAGAACAAAAAAAACAACAGTTACCTGAATATCGGAATTCAATGCAACACCAAATTGATCAGCACGTTCCATAACTTTGGAAGAACTTCTATTTGAATTTTTACATGTCATTGATTGTTTACATGAATATTGTGCAATTGGAGACATTAATCGATATACTTTTTCTTTATTTGAATGATTTTCTAAAACTAATACAGTTTGATGAATACAATGACCCTTCAATGGAGGTTGATGATTGTGATTATTATTATCAAAGCATGCATCTTGTATACGTAAGACTTTACATCGACTAGCTGAATACTAAGATAAATGAAATCAAATGTTATATAGAATAAATTATTGATTGAAAACAAATGATAATCATGAAATAATAAAACGTAAAAAAAAACAGTCCTCTTCTATTATAATTTATGTTGAAGTGATCCAGGAAATTACTTGAAAAAGACAAGCAAGCATCAGAAAACACTAAGATGCGTTTCATCCAATTAGCGTTCACTTGAAGTTTTAGCCAAAAATATCAAGGAAGTGAAACGTCACATGCAGAGGTTCGGATTGATTGATTGCTACACTGCTACTGTGTTTAGTAGCATTCCAAAATCTTCTAGCAACCCAAGGACATTTAAAATATAAAAGCCTCGTATTTTCTGTATTGAAATGAACCTTGGAGTAAAGTACTTCCCGCATACTTTGAGTCTTCTCTCTCCTGTTCGGGTCGCTGTAGAGTTCTAGCTTGGGGGTTACTAGAAGAGCTTAGGAACCGAATATAGCGTTCAGTCTGCAAGACCCATCAATTTAAGAGCCGTTCTGATGTACATTAAAGGTATTACAGTCTATTGTGTTACATAAATAAGTGTTATGGACAATTTGATGCTTCAGATAAATACTGATTAAAATCTTATAAATGAATTCATAACAATATA